TTGGAATCTCTTCATTAGTTTCCATATAAAACACCTTTATTAGTAAATTCTAGATACTACATCTAAAGCATATGACAATTAGAAATTTATAAGGGCTTCAAGAAAACTATCTTCTTCAACATTTTTGTCCTTAATGGATAAAGAGAGCACAAGTGCAACATAACAGTTTTTGGCTTGTATGATTTGTAATTGTTTTTAGCTGTGGCTCCCTCAGTTCAGGAAGTGAGATCCTCTTGTCTGAACACAGGCACCTAACACTATTTGAGATGCCCTCAAATATTCAAGGTATCCACATAAGGCTGGCGAATATTACATGGGACTGATGGGATACCCATGTCCTTCTGGAACAACACCTACAGGGCCAGGCAGAATGTGCTAGGGCATCTCAAATGGCACTGGATGCCTGTAACTAGGCAGCTGCTCTTGGAATGGTTGATAGGCAGGATTGCATATAATCTCTCTGATACCTGTCTGAGCATCCACATGAAATAAATAGCTCTTTATTCCTTGACAAAATTATCTTTTTACTGTTCTTTTTCTATCATTCTACTACATTATTCTAAATAACATCAATTCTGTGGATAGAAATAATTGAGAGGATATACAATAACTGGGTTATTATGATCTCTGGTTGCCCATTTAAATTTACTTAGGCTAAACACCAAAGGACTGCTAAGGATAAACATCTTCTCTCAGATAAGCCAACAGTATGATCATCAGACTGGCCTTTAAACTTCCTAAACGTTGTATCTGGAAACTCCTCCTCTTCTTTCACCCTACCAAACTGCAAGTGCAGAAGCTTCAACAATGAACACTGAAGCGTTTTTGCTATTTACACAGGGTCTAAGGATTTTAAAGATGAGAAAACAGTTTTTAAAGACCCAGTTAAATTAATTATTTTTGCTCATGTAAAAGCACTTTGAAAGCCTGGACTAAAACTAGGAACATCCTACAGGAGGGTTGTTTGTGAGGTGCCTTGATTTTGTGAGCCATGTTGTGGGAATTCCAGGTCTAGGGTGGCCACTTCTCCAGGCCAAGTCAAAGGGAACAGCCTGAACAAAAATTAGTCTGCAAAAGCTTTGTGGACTGATAGCTTCACCTTGTTAAAAAACAAATAGGCAAGTGACTCTTGATGCAAATAGACACTTAAAGTAGCAGCACTACTTCAGTGTCACTGTTAGTAGACTACAAGTATGTATAGTAAATGCTATTCATGATGACATTTGGTTTAATAGTAAAAAAAAGTCAGATATTTGTATTCATAAAATAAATGAGCAAAACACCAAGCACTTCTGCTTGTATTATATGCTCCAGAATATTTTTAGCCCATATAATTTTGAAATATATGTCCCAGTTATAAATCAATGTAAATTTCACATAATTAAACAACAAGGAAGATAATATACACGTACTTTTTTCATGAGGTACTGAATCACCTTTGTCTTTTGTGATTTTAGGCATCCGATTTGCATAGATATTTTTTACATAAAGTTGCCGATCCTTTTCCTAAGAAGATATAAACACTATTAAACTTCTAATATGCATTAAGAATTACTTTTTACCAACTTAATTTTCCCATATTGGGAGAAAGCTGTCAGCAATTTTGCTTTGTGCCAGGCCATGTGGTGACTTTTTAATTTACATAAATAGGAATCTGTAATTTTCTTTCATGAGCCAAATCAAAATTCTCACTTTTTGAGGCTAAAATCACACCTACATGGATCTTTTTCATAACACAGCGGTCAAAAGATGAAGCCTTCTCTAATTATTTTTTCATTTGTTCTTAGCTATTTTTTTTCAGACTAAGCAATTTTGGCTTTATTTCCTTTTTTTTTTTTTTATTTTTTATTTTTATTTGCTCAGTGCCCTTGGTTACAATGTGCTCAGTTCTAGTTTAAAGCCTGTTGCTTGGGTGGTGACATAAACTTCAAAGGCATGCTTAAAAAATTTATTTAGCAAGAGTCCTCTTTCCTTACTGAAATCTATCTTACACACAAAAGAGAGATTTCAGCAACACTCTTACCATAACAACTTTTAGTGTGAAAAATAGGAGCCGCATTTAATTTGGACACACAAGTTGATCTGAAAGGGAATTGTGTGTCTGAATACCTTAAATGGTCTGACTAACCCAGGTGCCCAAAGCTATGACTGTGTGAAAAGCAACTGTTCTGGCACAGAAATAAGGTTAATAAGCATGTCTGGTCCTCTTTGTGGTAAAACAATAGGTTTTCTGGATCTAAATATAACATTAAGAGAATGGGACACACATAGAAAACTGTGCAGAAAACACATGAAATATAAATATTTTGGAGAAGCATTAAGGTGAGAACTGTACTTTTGAATAATTTGCATTTGGAACAGTTTTACACCACCGTTCCTGGGACTATAATTATTCCAGTCTCCCAGGTCTGCACACATAAGAAGATCAGACTCTTGAGAGGGAAATTGCACTGCAAGCACTGCTCGGGGGACTTTGATACAGGGCCCAGAAAGAGCACTGTACTTTTTTCCTTTCACAACAGCTTACTGGGCTTTTGCAGCTCGGCAGCCTGGCTGCTGCCAAATATGAGGAGGAAGGTTTCTGCACCTGATACATTGGTAAGAGGGACAAACAGTGCCCGGTACAGAAATGCAGATCTCCATGAATCCTCAGGAGCTGCCTGTCCTGCCCTTCTCAATGCCTGGGAAAACTCCCCATAACAACATTCACAGACATCTTATTCCATTTAGAAAAAGAAAGCTCCCTAGCAGAATCAACAGATGGATTGGTCACTTCATACAGAAATTTTAAAAAAGTATATTTTAACCATGTTACAAACACAGTTTAAATTATTAAAAAGCCACAAGGATTTTCATGCTTCCTGGAATATGTTCTGTTTTTCTTGTTTACAACTTATCTGACATACTATTCATGGCGGTTTTGTTTCTATCTCTATTTAGTGTCACTTTTATGTTTTCCTGTATGTTCAGTTTACAAGCATTCAGTAAGTGTTGAACTCGACATATTTGTCCCAAAAATATTTGTCTAAAAACCACATTGGAATTTGAAAGAAACTATTGAAACATTTACATAAGTCTTTTTGTTAAACTCTAGTTTAGCAAATTGTAATATTTGTCTCACTTTGATTTGAAAGTGTTTCTATAAAGGAACTCACTTAAAGTTAGAAGATCAATGTATTGACCTAGATCTGGCAAAATGGTAACAAGTTGGTGGGGATTATTTGTTCAAATTGTGATGCATTAATCTCCATTTCGATTAGTTATTAAACTACTTCAAACTTTTGACAAATAGACTGTACAATAATTTCACTGTTTTATATTTTGACTTTTTTTGGTAGACTATAGACTCAACTAGGAAACAAAAGAGGCAAAAGGAGTGGATAACATTAAATATTTGAATCTTCTTGCAGGAACATAAACATGTTTAAAATCTTAAATACCTTAATTTTCTGGTGAAGGGAGTTAATTTCCATTTGCAAGTTCTTTGTAATTATCCCAGCTTCCACAGCTTTTTTGTTCTCATTTGCCAACTGACGGCTAAAGGTGCTATTGTTCAACTCCAGCTGCTTTTCTAGGCTCTTAAACAAATTATATATTTTACAATATGGATGTATTCAGTATGACTGTTGAAAAGCTCAGTTCTTACTAGATCTAAAAAATAAGCATGCTAATATAATGAAAAGTCAACTTATAATAATTATATTCAATTTTAAACAGTACATGAAATTATGATGAAGTATCTGAAAAATTACTTTAAAAATGAGCAAAGCCTGGTTCAAAACCTAATTTTACTACACAAAAAAGTATACTTGGCATTCAAACATGAAAAATAAGGCTCTACATTACCTTTCTGATAGATTAACGAATACAAGAATCTTTGAGAAATGTTAAAACATTTCTGTTCACACTGAGATCTATTAACTGTGGCAGCATAAGGAGGCTTAGCATAAATGAGAACTAGGTAATTTATTGAGTACTTTATCATGTACTTTATCATTAGAACCCAGTACCAAGCACTGAAATGATAGTTACTAAAATTGTAAGGTGGACACCCAATCCTGCAAGCTTTTTATAGCTTCTCACTAGGACTTCCCTAAATAGAAAGTTTTCAAAAGAGAGTCTGAATTCAGCTGTTTATGTTTGCATTTTCTTTCATGTAATAAACGTACTTCAGACCTAGCCATCCTGATGGTGAAATACCTCCAAGATTATCTGGTTCTTTATTTAATTCTATGCATACTGTGCCCCGTAGAAAATAGAAATTACTTCCCGGAGGACAACGGACATTTCGCTCTTACAGTTATCTATTAAAAACTGTATTTCTGTCTTTTTGTAAAAGGTTCAGTAAGAGTAAAGAAGCATGAGATATTAAAAGGAGCTGAATTATCTCCTCTTAAACTCCTACCAGGATTTTACGGCAGTTGCATAATAAAACAAGAGTAGAACCAACCCTAAAATGGACACCTGACTGCTGCCTAATTCAGCAGCCGCCCTACAGCCGATTACAGTAAGTGACAGTAATTAGTGAATAGGAGATGTATGTCCATACTGCCCACCAGCACCATGTAGAAGTAACAGTGCTAGTTCCAGTTAAGCCAGCTTTTGTTGTTCAAGGCAATAGATAAGCAGCAGCCTGGTGGTCTCCCATGTATGGCAAATCCTGTGCTTTGCCAGGGTAAATTAGGGTCTGCGCTATTGTGGCCAGATGGCCCAAGCAAGCCTGTGTACCCCATGCTGCTTGCAGGGAGCAGACACTCTGCTGAAGATTGCTCTCCAGCTGTATGCTATGCTTCTGACATAACAGGGTTAAGGCATATGACTTAATTCCTAAAAGACCTTTATTGCCAAACTTAATCCACTCATACATTTCTGACAGATTTTAAAATATTGGAAGGAGATAACTACTGCCATTTATAGTACCTCGCACTCAGGACAGTTCTGGACTAAAAAGAGAGTTCAGTGTTACAGGATTGCATCAGAATCATTAATGTGACAAGAAGCAGATAAAAAAACTTTTCTTGCACAGAAACCTCTCCTATTATTGTTCCACAAATACAATGATATGCACATATTACCTGTATTCTCTTATTATTCACTTCCATTTTTTCTGTAAGGACTGATAATCTGTGATTAAGTTCCTCTCTCTCTGCAAGAGCTTTGTCTTCTGAAAGTGTACGCAAGGCCTGCAAGGCATCTTTAGTTTTTAGCAACTCTGTTTCAACTTTTCTGAGCTTCTTGGATGTATTTCTCTCATCTTGCTGAGACATCCTCAGGAGTTTTCTTAAAGCTCTCACCTCATTATGATGACTTGCTAAAAGATACGGCAAGTTATTTTCTGAATTTTTGTATCTACCTATTGCTTTCAAGTGTCGACACTGAAGCTGTTTCAAAACTTGGTTTTCTAAGCTTGATGCTTCTAATTTGTGTTGTAAATCAAATATTTCACTCTTCAGCTCTTTAATTTTGTTAAGTCTTGCTGATAATATTCGCTGAGCCATTGCATTTTTTCTCTGGGAAATCATACTACTCTGCAGGCTTAAAAATGAAGAATTCTGATGTATCTTCTCAGCTGGAAGAGGAAAAGGACACATCTTTTCAAGCACTTCTGTTGAATACAATAGATGTTCTGCACACAAACTCTTTACAGGAGCGGGCCCTAACCTGAACACCCCATTGCAGGTGGGAAGCCATATCAAAACAGCGACTGGAAAACTAAAGCAGGATACTTCCTAGGGCACCATCATGCCATGGCCTCTCTGCTTCCATGACCTAAGCCAGAATAGTGGAAAACTATGGAAAGAGGGTTATCTGGGAAGACAGAGATGCATGCAGCAGTGGCTTCAGTGGGGAAATGGCTCTTCCCTGCTCCAGCAGCACCTATTCTTCCCTGCTGCACCAGCTGCAGCAGCCTTCCTGTTCTCACAGCTTCAGCCCAGCTCTGCCCCTCTCCATCCTATGGCAGGGCCTGGAGCCTGGCCTGGGCCTGACACCCATGTGCCTGGTGTGTGAGGCAGCAATTTCGAGGAAAGTCTGAAGGGGGTCAGTTATACGATTCTGTCTGTCCTTTGCTCTTATTCCTGTAATACCTGATCCACTCCACTGTTTCAGGATACGCCCAGGTGGTCTTTGTTCTGATGGCCCTGCTGATAGAGGAGAGAAGGGGCAAGCTGGTAGGACCTCCCTCATACAGAGCCACATGGGGAGAACAGACTATCAAATTCAGTGTGATAGCAAAAAGGAAAGGTTAGAAAGAATATGAGATTAGGAATCAAAAGGAGGAGACACTGATTTGGACAGGGCAGTTAAATTTTTTTACATATGTTTTAAATGGATTAAGAAGGACCATCATGGAGGTTCACGTAAACAGAGAAGAAATTATAGCTGTCAGTTGAGGTCAGACACATTCAAGACCTCCTGCAGTGAGCAAAAATTAACAGGTGGTGTGAAAAAACCTCACCAGAGGTAAAAACCAAAGCAAACAGAAGGCACGCAAGCATCATACCTGCATGTTCTCTGTAATGCGATTCCACCGCACGAAGACGACAATATGACCACAAGTGTCACACAAATATTTGCCAAATGAGAACAACCATTACATCACTATTTTACTTTTCCAAAATGGAATGAGATGATGTAAAAGAAATCGGAAAGTATCTTCCTGCAAAAGCTAACAAAAATACTGCAAAATCTATACATGTCTATAAAGGTTGAAAATGTAGGTTATAATTGTGTTCCTGGGAAATAGATCAGTTCAAGTAGCCATGAATAATAAAAAATAACCACTAAAAGTATCCAATACAGCTAGTAGCCAATAATGATTCTTCCGATAAACAGATTTTTTAAATGTGGTTATTTTTCTGGTCTGCTAGCTTCATGCCAGTATGAAGTATGTCACTTCTTGACAGCAGCATAACATATATAATAGAAGAGATAATCAGTGTTTCCTCTCTCGTATGTTGGTGGATTTCCATCTTATAGATCTAGATGAAATTTTTTTTGCAGGAAAAGGGTCACTGGTTTTACACCCACTTTTTGGCAGGGCATGGTGGGATTTAATAAAGTATGGGTCTAGATATGAAAACAAGCAGACAGGAAATGATTCTTCACTGTTAACATTTACATTAAGGGAATATATTTGTGCTCTATGATCATTCCATTGAAGCATAAACTTAATTTTACATGATACATCATGACTAAGCTGGCCAAAAACATGGCTTTTTTGTCAAAACTGACACTTGTGCAGACATATAATTTTTGAGTAACTTTCCTTGGGAAAGGCTTTTCGGACTCATCATCTGATGCATGGTCAGGAACAGAAATGGCAGTACATGTGGGAGAGCCATTTTCAAGTCCTCAGATTAAAAATGAGGCATAAGGATTGCAAAAGTGCTGCCACGTCTCAGGTGATTATCCACCTCTTGGATCAGAGAATTGTGGGATAACATCTATCTCTCTCTCTTCCCTCCCCTTCCCAGTGTTTGAAATATGATTTATTACTCTTCTTCACTGAAAAACTGTTTCTCCTGTCTTCCTAAGTACTGAAAAAAAAGCCAAAGAAAAGGAACATCTGCATTTCTCCATCAAGACTCATTTTACTACTACCAGAAAACAAAGTACCTCTTTTAACATTTTGAGGGAAGATACGCTGTCCTTTTTTCTTCTTTTCCTTTTTCTTTTTTTCTTTTTCCTGTGTTTTCTTCTCTTCAGTTCCTCATATTTCTAAAAGTTTGCTGCTTCTATCTGTTTCAGAGCAATGCACTGACAAAGCTCTCAGAATAGCTAGTGTGAGAATTTTCACTTCTGTATTCTCTACTGTGTCACCTACAATCATTACCTCTGCTGCAGCTGCTGCTTCTGATACTTCTGTGCTTTGGGGAATCTTTAGTATCCCAGCTTTTTGTGCCATGTTCTGACTTATTATCTTCTGTTACTAAAATATGGAGGAAACAATCATCCGAGTTCATCACTGTGTTATGGCAGACAACTTAAAAGTTGACCTAACAGGAATCAGAATGTTACTGAGTTGTTTACATTTAACATAAACAGTACTAAACAGCACTCAACTATATTAAACGATGCTAAGAAATACTAAGTTACCTTTAAAAAAAACCCCAGTCATTACTCTTTAATCTATTAAACTAATTGTGTGGTCTGTAGTGAGTGAGTTAGGTTTGTTTCCAGAATGAACTGCAATATGAAATATACTCGTTTTTATCTCAGAATTTATTATGATACTGGCATGTGTTTTCTAAAGATTTACAAGGTACTACCATTTATATGTAGATACCATAGTTTGTTTCCTGTAATGTATACGTTTTCTCCACTATTAATATAATTTAAAAGAAATGTAATTGTATTTATGGTCAATGCCTACAAAGTGCTTTACAGTATATAAGAAAATAATTCTTCAAGTCTCTAGAAACTGGATATTTCTAATTGTGTTTTATAGTATTTTTAGTTTCCATTCATGTCATAAAAATACCATTTAGTCATATTGTTCAATAATTAGATCACAAATCAGATCACAAAATTAACTTATGCATTAAAATTTCAGAAGAAACATTGGGGAAAATGTTGGTGGTTTTTTAATGAAAACAATTTCTTCACAGCTTAACTGTACTTAACACATTTGTTTACTTTTGAAAATGCTGTAAGACACTTATCTCCATGTCTACGCACCCATATAGCTCGGAAAATATCACCTGTAATGCACTGTTGTTGTCAGAGATGTGGTTCTCTGATGAGATGATGGTGTAATTTTGTTTGATCGGGTTCTAAGTAATGTTGTTGCTTCCTCAGAACTGTCTTTTCTCAATAGTCCTATTTCAAACAAAATTAACTCTCCTAATTGTTTGGGTTTTTTAAAACCATATATTTAGCATAAAATGTAGAATGCTGATGAATTTTTATATCTTTGTGAATATCTGTTACATCTTTTTTTTTTTTTTTTTCTCCCTTCTTCTTTCCTACTGAGGCTACTGGAGAGTAGTAGAACAGATTGGTTCATACTCCTGGCAGCATTATTTAAACACTGTGGTTTTACTAAAGAGTATTTACTGGGATATGTTTCAATCTGTTTCAATCATTTTCTTAATATCACATGAAGACTACTGAGACCATAGTTGTATTGATGTAGAAGTCTACCCAGTAGTAGAATAAGTTGTATATTTGGGGGCAGGTGGGTGTCTAAAAAGGGCATAGCAATTGTGTAAAAGAAATTTGAGGGGGGTTAAAATTATATTTTAGTTCAGATGTACTTTAACAAGTAGCTTAAGCTAAAAAAAAGGAAGACATTTTTAGAACATTCTAACTACTTCGTTGGCATTTTTACTTGTGCCGTTTTATTTTAAATTAAATTAAGTTTCTGAAAGGTGGGAGGGGAATCATGTAACTCTCAAACAAAATTAAAAAGTGTAATTTAGGATTGCACAACATTTTTTTGGTTGCATCAGAACAGTTTCACTACTCTTCATTCCGTTACATGAACAATTCCTTGTGGAAGACTGAGGAGTGCCCAGGGTCCTACTAAATTTGAGCCAGTACAATAACCCCTAAGAGATGGGAACTCGTATTTTAAAATGAGGATTAAGCAAGGCCAGCTTGGTGCATAGATTTGTATTTCTGTTTAAATTCAATCTGGCACTGTCAACACTTTCTGGCCAAATTGTGTTTAAATCAAATTATCTTAAATTAAACTTAAAACTACTGCTTTAATTTGTTTTGATGAGAAGTATGGGCTGAACCTCACCATCCAGCTTCAAGAGCAGAAGTTGAGAATAAAATGGAAAAGGAGAAGAAAAGGCACAAAACCAAAACATGAAGGAGAATAAGCAGAGAAATGAAATGAAAGATATTACTATAGAAATGAAGAAAAAAAAGCAGTAGCTGAAGAGGGAATGAAATGAAATGGACAAACACCAAAGGAATTTATTTTGAAAGAAGAGATGCAGGGGAAAAAAAATAGGGCCAAATACATCTGTTAAAGATGAAAATGCCATTTCAAACATCCAGAAACTGCTCACGGTGAATCATGAATTGCAGTCTGTGTGCAAAAAGAGAGTAGGTAAAGGAAGGGGAGCCCTGGTGAGAGAACACAGTCTGACTTCCCGGACCAGGAGCATGCAGCAGCCCCTGGGCCCCACGGCTGCACCCAAGCTCCAGGGGAACCAAGCCCAGCGCCCGGGCCCACCTGCTCCTGCAGGAAGGGTGAGGCCTGATCAGGAAGGCCGAGGGCCCTCAGACCTGCCTCTGGGCTCCTTCAAGGGCCCCAAAGAGCTCCCGAGCATGGTCCATACCAGCCAGAGCTCCCCCACCACCCTCACGGAGTGCTGGCGGGGTCAAACCGCCACCTTGCTCTCCTCAGCCACCTCTGAGGCCCGGAAGCCTC